GTCAGTGAGCCACAAGAGCCGCGAAGAAGGGAAGAAGGGCGTTACCTAGGCCAGCACAGACTGGTTGTACCACATCCACCGCCCTCTGGTGGATAGGAGTGCACATCAGCTGCATCTTTCTGCCATTATTAGTTTGTTTCATCATGTTGATTTTGGTCCAAGCGCTCACTTTATTTATTTATTTTGATAAGTTTAAATTGAATTACTAACTTCATGCTGTTTGGCACGGACTCCCGAATACTCACCAACCTCGAGAGCTTTCTGTCTGTCTGCATCACGGTCCAGGTTAGTCTATTATTTGGCTTCCATCTGTAGACTAACAGGCAGACTAAATGAACTGGGCAATCAACCTCCTCTGTTCTCTCGAAGGTGAGAGTTCTGTCGCTGTCCATGCATCTGGAAGGCCCCTTGGACCACCCTCCTCAGGACAAAGGACCTTGCTGACCATCATCAGACTCTAGCTCCCAGCTTCTTGGTAAAAAAAAATGCTCCAGTTAAGAGGGGGATACTGTCGTGGTCCTGCAGTCTCTGTGCTGCTCACTCTGTCCCTGCCTCCTCTTCATTTTCCTTCCAGCTTCCCCTGTGTGTGTGTGTGTGTGTGTGGTTAACCACACCTTCTGTTGCAGAGGTGGGTCCTTGCTCCGTTTCCTGCTTCTGCTGTCAGCACACCTGGCGATGACAAACCTACCTGTTGGAAATGATCTGAGCTACTTGCTATTTAAGCTGATGGAATTCCCTCATTCAACGCCTAATCGTTTATCATTTAAGTATTGCATGCTCTGGCTTTAAATGAATGTAAACAGTGTGTGAACAATAACGTGTTCTTTAGTACCCTGTTGGAGAGACAAGAGAGTTTTCTTATTGATTGTAATTGTGTCAGTTTGTACAGCTAAAATTTCACCCAGCAGTGTTTTTTTTATTTTATTTTATTTGAGCTCTTATTGTTTTTTTTGGACTGGATAAGCCTTTGATGAATAAATAAATAAAGCTTGGTGTATTATCATGAAAGTCTTTTGTACATTGTATGGAGGACATTTAAGAATGACCTGTGTTCTGCAGCTTGTCTTAAACTGTTTGAGATGATTTGAACTTTGTGACGTGGCACCGGCAGTATAATGTAAAGATCAGTACACTGTGGGCATAAAGAAATGAATATTGTTAGTAACAATACTCAGCTAGGCTGTGATGTTTAAAAGATAGTCAGTTGGTAATAAGGGGCCCGAAGTGTTCCAAAAAACAACTGCATTAACAATAAGTTGCATGTGTAACAGTGCATTATATTTTAAACTCTGATTGTGTTATAAACACAAACACATATAAATGACCAGAATTTCTGCAGCCGTTTCACTAATGATCTTTCATTTCACAAACAAAATAAAAAACAATGCAAACTGTAAATAAATACTATTTATTGAAAATATTGCATGTCGTCAATCAAAAACAAAGACTTGTTTTCGTTTAATCAACAACATAAACGTGAGCTTGACCACTCAGACTTCAGCCCTCATCAAAATTGGAATAAAAATCAAGTACAAGTCTCCTTCCAGTTTCGTTTGAGGTCTGATTAATTAGCAGATAATTAATTCCAATGCCAGGGAAGGCGATTGCTAGCATTTGTTTACGCATGCATACTTAAAAACTCAATAAAAGCACAGCCTGTTTTTGAAAGGTCCATTGCACTCTGCTGAGCTTTATTATTACACTGAAAAACAAACAAACAAAAGAAGTAAAACATCAATGTCCTCAACACCTGGGATTACACTGCTCTGCACTGAAATATCCCACACACTTACTGTATCTTGGTCCAATGTGTTGTATGTAGTAACACTCGTGGTGAAAGTAAGTCAGTGAAAGCAGAAAAAAGGGTTTAAAGTTTAAACAAAAGTCATAGTAGATGCATTAAAAATAACTGGCATTTGATACGCACTGATTTTACTCTAAATACATGTGGCACGTAGTATTGCTTTAACCCTAACTGTCACTATAATGCCATGTTTTTAACAAATTCATGTTCTATCTGGTAAA